AGAGATTATTAAGCCATTGGTGACACAGGAGTACAAATTGTTCTAAGCACCAAAACCCAGCAACATAGGTGCTTCATGGATTATTTTGGTCCAGAATTGAAAAACATAGAGTGAAGAGCAAAACCCAACATTTTAAATTTCTTCTTCCTGTAGCCAGTGCTACTTAGATTATGAATCCTGAAATCCCAATATTCAAGTTGGGTTCCTGGCACCCCGCACTACTGCCCTGATCCAGCCAGTGGAAAGTCTGCCCTGGAGCAGAGAATGGCTTTGTTGCTTTTGATGAGATCGCAATTTGAAAGAAGTTGGTGATACTATTTATTTATTTTTGTTTATTCTTTTGTATAGGTTCCTTAAATGTACATAAACACATCTGAGCTGGGAATTGGGAACGTCTGAGGCTAATTACATTATTTCTAATGAACGTTATAAGCCATTTCACTAAATTGCATTATTTCGGAATTCAATCTGGAATTATGTGTACTGTATTAACTGGTTAGCTACAGGTATAAAATGCTCTAAGTCTAATTTAGGATCCCTAACTTGACACTTCCATTAATCCATATAGGAAAAGTCTCCTGCTTTCAATTCAAAGTTTTAAAAAAAGTTTATTTCAAAGTTTACACTCTTATGGTCCCGAACCTCATATTTTCTTTGTTCTGATGGGGGAAAAATTCACTGTTATATGTCGCTTTTGCTATTCTGTCCCTGACTTTCTGGTTCCTAACACAAACGTGTATGGGGGAGCGCTTGTATTTGAAGATTTTCAGGTTTATGACCGCAGTTTCACGCAGTGCAGCAGTGTAAGTGTTATTACGTGTCTTATGATGCTGCTTCATCAGCACCGTCTGTGGTTCCCAGTCCTGGTCCCGTGACCCGTGATCCAAGAAGCTGCTTCACTTAAATACTTGCATTTTTTTTCTAGTCACAAGTTGAGGGTTTTTTTTCACTTACAAAATCCAACAGTTGAAGCTCCAACTTGTTAAAGAGCTGGAAATAATTCAAATGAATCTTAAGTCCATGAATGGTTTGATTGTGTAGCCAAGGGCTGGTCTGGAACAGGAACATGCAGGACTGGGACTGGGAACCACTAGCTGTAGCTAGCTCTCGACCTGCTGTGTCTGATCTTGTCCCTCGTGGGTTTGCAGTGCCCCCCAATGGCCTGGTGGTGTACTGCGGCACCATAGTTACAGAGGAGGGGAAGGAGAAGAAGGTCAATATCGACTTCGAGCCGTTCAAGCCCATCAACACCTCCCTATACCTGTGTGACAACAAGTTCCACACTGAGGTGAGTGCTGCCTTGCTTCTTTACCCCTTCGCACCCTTGGCCTGACCAATCCTCCCCCTCCCCTCACACACACTCGCACACTCTGGGCCTCTGCTGCCTCACTCCTCTCCCCCTCC